GGATTTGAGCTCATTAGCACCTGCTTGGACGGGGAACATTCCTCTAAAATTTCAGCTTTCTAGCCTACCAGAACCCCGAGTTATGAATTTGCGCGGGAAAAATTTTGGGGGGGCCCGTACGCGGATACCACACTTACCAGGGGGCTGGACTTGAGCCCACTAATAGCCGCTTGGGCGAGGAACATTACCCCAAGATCTCAGCCTTCTAGCTTCTCAGATCCTCGAGTTATGAACTGACTCCAAAAGAACTTTGGCGGGCCCGTACGCCGGTACCACGCGGATTTCGGCGCCAATTTTGGGGATGGGGGCCCGTACGTGTATGTAGATTATGTCCCCAAAGTTTAAGCCCCGCAGCTTTTGCCGGTCTCGAGATGGAAAGTCGGTACAGACGAACACACACACACACACACACACACACATACACACACATACACGCGCGCACACACACACACACGCACACACACACACACACGCACACAACCTTTCATCAGTATGCGTTTTCTGCATTGCATAGCTGCAAAAACGCATAAAAACGAAGGAGCTGAAGTTCTGAAAGGATGTTCACTATCTGCATAGGATTCAAAAATTTCAAATTCAGCTTACATTTCACATGCCGGTACGTAAAATTCTTAATGGGAAAATTTACAACTTAGGAACCAGAAGAGAGCATGTCTACTGTTTTTGTACACAAAAGTGTAAAACATTGAAAATCCTTAACAGCAAACATCAGCTGGACGGAACTGCGCAAAATGAATGATCGCACGTGCACTTTGGTGCGCGACACTGTTTCATTCTGATTCGATCACCATGGTAGGTCGGATGTATATAATTTTACTTCTGGATCTTTGGGTGGTTCTGTCTAAACTCATATTTTAGACCTGATACATTGCCTTAATGTTAATTTTCATTACTCATTTCGGCATTATAATCGAGAATTGGACTGTCATTAACGGCATTGGTATATTGTTGATATATTTTAGCACATTAGCATTTCTTATTAATGAAATTAATTTGTTTTAGAAGATCTATATTGATTTGAGTGACGTGGATGGTGTGGCAGGTGCTTTCGAAACAATTCGTTCGTGCGCTGAGCCGACAATAAACGATCGAATTTTGTCGTTGGAAGCAGATGGCAACTACTGGGATGCGTTGCCTTTGTACGAACATTCCTCCAATGTCAAGGTGAACATCCTAAATATTTGCAGTGCATGAGGCGACAAAAACGCTCGACACTGGGAGGCTTTCCGGGATGTTTGCTGTTTTTAGTTTCAGAATTTTTCTGCTCTTTTTTTCAGCTTTCGTATGTCAAATGCTTGCTTCGCCTCAATGAGCCTCGTTTGGCACTGAACGAAATCAGCGAAAGTTTAACAAACGATTCCGATCTTCTCGAAAGTACCTCCTTTCTGGCTTATTTTTTAATCTTAAACTAGGGAAACACACTCATCCTTATATAAATACTGTGCTTAAACAATTGTTTTCCAACAATTCAGCTAGAACCTTTCCAGTTGCTTTAATTAATGGCGCGTCTTTTGGCAGGAATCCTGACTTTCGCCTTTTTTTTTTTTGAAAAGATTCCCAGCTCAGATATCCTCAGCGGATGCATTTGGCAAAACTTTGGGCGTCCCAGAGTGTGTTTTTGATGTGCGCTAAGTATCACTAAAAAATGTTGGAAAAGTTAAAAGCGCACTTTTTAAATTGCAGAACTACGCTCGTGTCAAATCGAAGCAACCTGGCGACTGCAGCAGTGGGATAATTTAACAAAGTTGGTGAACACGAAACCGGAACTGGCCACGTGCGGCGCCACATATGCTGGCGTAATTTGCTCGCTCAAAAATCGACAATTCGATTCGATGGATGATTTTTTGGGCAAAGCTCGAACACGACTGGTTAATGCATTGGCGGCGATGACAATCGAAGATTCGGATACATACACACAGGCCTATAAATATGTTACACAGTTGGTGCCTTTTTTTGAATATTCCCTGCGCAGTTTATTCGTTTTAATGATTACTGAATGCAAATATACCGAGGAATCGATAATTCTCAAGCAGTTTTTAAAGCCTTTGTTGCAGTTGGTGCTTATCCTGAGTGCTTTCGTCGATCACAGGAAAGGGGTTTTATTGTTTAATTTTTGGAAAACAGAGAAAAGCAGAGCAGTATTTGATGACTACATGAAGGTGTTTAATTACGGAGATGCCTATCACATTTACTGCTGCAACTTCGTGAGCTCACTGCTGGGAGTCTAGGCGGCACTGATTGATGCGCAAGTGGAATTTTTAATTCCATACGAGGCATAAGCTCACTTTTACATAATCTATTTTTTCATGCATAACGCACAAAAAAAGCAATGCGTCTTACTCACTGTTACTGTTTCATTTAAAAATACAGTGGTTGCGAAGTTCTTAGTTGAATAAAAAATCCTGCTGTGCACCATCCTCGCTTCCCAGCATCTTTTAAGTTCCTCTTTTGTGGTTACGAGGCATTGGAAAAGTAAGCTCGGAGCCCATTTATTACACCACTAATGCAGTTTGGAGAATCAGGAGCAAATTTTTTTCTCATACTTTCAGCTCCTTGCTGAATTTGAATGTTGCGGTAATCTCATCTTAGGCTGATTCTTGTGTGAGCCAAGTTTTTTTGCTCTTAGCTCGAAATAGTGGTATCCGACAACGCATCAAATCTGCGCAACATCTCTCTAAAGGAAGATTTCCGTTAAATATTTCTCGTTAGTCAAAAACTGCTCTTCTCTCATTGCTTATTGCAGATTACATGTGTTGTCCGAAATTGAGGATGCAAAGGCGTCGCTGAAGTTGCAGGATGATCATGAAATCCTGTCTCCTGAAGAGCTGATTAAGCAGTTAAACATTTGGCAGGTAACGAAATATCATCTACTGCTTTTAAGAACCGACTGCTGGTATTTTCGTTAGGGACTATGCATTAGTGTATCCATAACCGCGCTTTGGCTCACCAAGAACTATTTGGTCAGTCGTTGAATTCAGATCATTTTCCGTTAACTGTGTCCTGGGGTTTTAAAGTCAAGTTAAACTGTGCTTGAGCCTCAGGTCAGGGTGCTTTGACCGTGGGAAGATTTTAAATTCAGCCTTCATCGTTAGTTCTCTCGTACGTCCACGTCAAGGTTTAAATTGGCGTCATGCCAACTCTAAAATTAAGCTGAGTAGGAATTTGCTGGGAGCGGTGATTTTATGACATTGTTTGCTGTGCACTGGTGTACTTGGTGTGAAAGTAAATCGAGCTTTTACCTCCGTCTTGCATATCACATACGGGCACGTGAAGTTGGCGCATGCAGTTTTGTAACTTCGGAACTAAAGCAGCTAAAGGGTTGAAATTTTTTGAACGTAGCCACGACCATGTTGATTGGGAGTCGTAATAATTTGTGAAGACGTGATGGTCAGTGTCAGTTCGTTTAGCTAGAAGCATCTGTTGGAAAAAACAGTACTGTTATCGACAAACATCGATGGGAAAATTGTGCAAAAAGCGCATTTTCGCATCGACAGTTGGTGCAGTGGCAAATAGTTGAACAGAATTTATCCAGATCAGAATATACACAGCTGTATGCTATTCTCTCGAATTTCATCTAAAAAAAAATGGTTATTTTAGAATCGTGCTTCTCGGGCGGTTCAATGTACGAGCATTTTGGAACCCATTTTGAACGCGCGACGAAGTCTGTTAAGTTTGCTGGAAGGTGGGATTGGTCGGGCACCGTTCTGTGATTTATTGCTGCAGAGCTGTCGCCTAGCAAGGCACGATGGTCATCTGCAGGTTGCTTGGTCATACCTGAGCCAGGCCAAAGCAATGAATGTAAATCAGTTTGAAGTTGAAATGGAAGAAGCTCGATATCTTTTCCAAAAGGTTATTTTCCTATTTTTTCAGCTCGATTCAAGAAATTTGGTGGAATCGCGTTGAAAATTCCTTTTCCTCGCTCGCCCCTTGTAGACTCGGTGGTGGTGGCAATCAAATTTCTGTAAAAAAAAATGCCATGTCACCTTGAAAACTTGGCGTCTAATCCGATCTGTCATCTTAAACAACTTGTGTTGATAAAACCAACCAATTGTTAAGATACCTTGTCATGACTTGGTGTTTGCGGTGTGATACTAGTTTTCAGCGTAAACCACTGATATCTCGACACGATAAAAACCTTGCCAAAATGCTCCTGTCGGAATAGTCGTTGAACTGGTAATCCATTCAGGAGATGCAAAAAATGCCTGAATCACCAGCAGGCTGACTACCAAAAAATACAGCACTGGTCAAAGAATTTAGAAAAGTTGCAAGCTGCATAGTTGGAGGACGACATCATGAACAGTGGCTGGTCAAAATACGTCTCATTTATTTTAACTCGGGGCCCGGGAATGCAAAAAACTAACACTTTGAAGCACAGACCTTACTTTGTCGCAAAGCCGTGTTGTTCATTGTAGCTTCAGTGGATCCCAAGCTACACGCTTAGATAATTGAGAATTGTGTATGCATATATAATTTAAGCACAGTGAATTGGCTTCAGTATTATTACAGCATCGAGATGTCCTCTCATGAGAGTTTCGCATTTTTGCAAAAAATCCGTGTTATTTGCAGGGCAGTCAGGTTCAGGCGATACAGATACTCTCAAATCTATTAAAAAGAAAATTTCCGTCTAAGCTTCAACAGATGAAGGCTATCTGCGACTCAGGAAAAAAATTCAGTGGCAGTGGACGGTGTTCCGGAGATTTGAAAAAGGCGCTGGAAAAAGAACCGAAGGAGGAAAATGAAAATTTTGTAAAGGTTTGTTCAGTAATGCATTTTTCCGCAGCTGTGTAGAGTCTTGCCTAATTGTATCAGGAACTTGTTTCTGTGGTAGAGTTTGACATATTTTACCAAGATTATCCAGATTTTAGGTCCCATATTCAAACGGCTTGTTTCCACTTTGTCCTTGTTTTTTTAATTCACAGTTGTCTTGCATCAAAAATGCATCTGGCGATTTATGTATAGTTAGTGCAGTCGTCTGTGTGATTAAATATAATTGATAAAGATAGCATCGTACTGACGAAGTCAGTTCTGGTGCTGATAGTAATGCATGCTACTTTATGAGCTGAAACATTCCTATTCGTTTGATCAGCTTTTTAGTAAAAATTTTTGCGTTTTATGCAAACGTAGCGTAAAAGTTATAAATTTATTTATACAAACATAAATTTTAAAAGACATGCATTTTGTAAATTTATGCAGACGCAAAAACGCATATTGACGAGTGGTGTGCGTGTGTGTTCGTGTGTGTGTGTTTGTGTGTATATATATATATATATGTATGTGTGTATGTATGTATGAATGTATGTATGTATGTATATGTATGTATGTATGTATGTATGTATGTATGTATGTATGTATGTATGT